TGACGTGACAATCAGCTGAATATTAGCCGAGTTTTAAGGTCTTCAATGGCTTCCAAACCAAGCATAACTAGGCAATATCGCGAGCTCATTAAAGTCCCTCTATTACTTATGAGTGAAAATTGATTCCTGGATTCAGTTTGTTCTCCAGCAGTGTAACGCTTGCTTGCGTCAGTGGTTTATTGGTATAAAGTTTATCAAGTGTATATATTGTACCCGACAAAGTGAAGTTTGATTGGAGGTTGCCATGGAGTTCGGCTACAGACCACCTCTTAGAATGTACCGCTGGGCTGTTCAGGATAAAAGATGGAGACAGGTAGGCTGCAGTAAATACATTTTTGTTTTATTTTGCCGTCTAATCGGAGCTATTTTAAGCTTTGATTTACTTATGCAGATTAGACTTTCATTACAAATGGCCACTTTCATGTGTGCAAACTCTTTTCTTGTCGTCAGCGGGTCTGGTGTTTGAAAGTTATCGAAGAAAAAGGAAATACAGTTTTTAAAATCACTTGATATAACACACATCTGTTATTAACCCAGTACATTTTATGAAGTGATAGCAAGTGAGTGAGTCGGTATGAAATAACCAGCGAGGATGGTCGACCGGTGTTCTGATCCAACGGACGTTGAGTTTCACGTGGTCATCACTCCATTCAGTATGCTGTCAAATGGTACGAGGTGACCTTTTCAATACGAGCCATCAAATCTATGCTCACGAGATCAATTAACTGTATCAGAAGGGCAAAATCTTAAGTCTTCTATCTCATAGTAAAGGCAGTCGGAGCTCGAGCCTGATAAATAAACTAGACACATGAGTACCTGCTCATTGTATCATCATCATCATAACTGTATATTGTACGTATTATGTATTAAATTACGATGATCTTGTATGTTAGAAGAGGTACATCACACTGGTACTGTAGTGTTTATCGAAAGCCGTATCTCAAAAACTTGCTACAGCTGTACACATTGTTAAACGTCTGTTGAGCACTTTGGACAAAATGTTGACGTCACTCTCTACCTTTCGTACGCTCTCAGATGTGGTGGGCCTACACAGAAAAGCGAGGATTTGCGTTATCTAATTTAAATATTTCAAGTTTATCTTCTTTTAAAGAAAACGAAATTCCAACCTGAGCGATGTTCAGTTGTGCCTGACTAAATTGTGTGTGATTAAATGAAAATTATGGAAGCGATATGCGCATATTTCAAGGCAATTTCGGAATATTTGTCTGGTGAACTGGGGGTAATCAAAAATAAAAGCTGTCCCACTATACGCCATGTAGGCGGTTGGGGTGAGAGAAGGTGTAGCTCCTACTCATTCTTAACCTCGGCACTAGATGGGGGTGAGTGATCAGCTTCACGCTCCGGCTGCTATTGACCTCTGAGAAAGGACCCCGACACCCATTGGATAGGAGGCTGTGTGGGCCCCAGAGCCGGTCTGGACGCAGAGGTTAGAGGAGAAATACTAGAGCAAGTTTTGTATTAGGAGACTTCTCATTGCTGTTCAATTTTCCTCCATACCAGGCTTGTTTTGACTTCACGTAACTTGATAATCGATTCTGAGTTCATAATTGAAAGGCATCCCAATAAACAAATTCTGTACAGTGTGCGTCCGTTAATACAGTGTACGTAACATTTGAATCCTCTGAATTCGAATTTAACCTTGTACTGTTATTCAGTAGTGAGGAACGTTTACAGTGACGTGATAAATATTCCACTATTTCCAATACCTTATGATTCGACGAACAGCGGGGCTTCAGAACACGAAATGGCGGAAAGGCTTGATTGCATCACACACAGCAGATGCTTTCGACTCCTTGCTAATGGACCCGATAATCTCTCCTTGCGTGTCTTGCACACAGCTTGACGATGCACTATACCTATTTGAGCATGCCGTGGTCCAGCCATCGTGAATTTCGCGCCATGGTTTTGGTAACTTGAAGGATGACATTGTTGATATGAAAGTGGTCCCACCATTGATGTGTAACGTGAAGTATATAAGTTATAAAGTCAGTGGAGTGTCTGCTTTGCGTTTATAATTACGCTTATATGTGCACAAGAACTTTACGTAACCTCATTTGAAGTATTTTATTTATAATAAAATTTTCTTTTGTGCTATACGTTCTTTTTAGAATTCCAGTGAAGTTGCTTAGGAATCGGAAATTGCTTTGCGTTAATAGATGCATCGCCAAGAAGGGGAGATGAAATCAGAAGAGTGCCTACGTATTTTAACCAATTTTCCTTTGTTAAGGAAATAAAATAGGTTTATGAAATCACTGTGATGTCATTTAATGTCTTTAACCCCGTTCAGTTTTGAATCATTTGTCCGATTTTAACGAAACTCGTCAAGAACGTTATGCCGTTGGAAGCAAACCAAATCTGGATGGTTTCATTTCGTACAGTTGGCAGCAGCAACATGGCCGACGCATGAATTGGTCAGGTGGGAGCGACAACAGCGCCACGTAATATAAGGTCCTGACGATGCAAGATACTAGATGATTGAGAAATATGCAACTTCTTTATCTAAATCGACAACATGCTGGCTGTGCTAAAATATGTATCTATCAGTTTGTCATAGGTAATTTAATAAGCCATTAAAGTTAAGCATTTGACATCTGGAATGAAGGTCATGCTTATGAGTACAAAGTAACATGAATTATTAGATGGCAGAACAATTACAAACGTGACATTGGTACAAAACTTTTAAGTTACATCTGAGAGTTTTTCACGGACTCTATACAGCCTACAAATAATAAATTATTAGAAAAAATATATCACTTGTTATAAACCGTTTTGATACTAATAACATTCAGTAACATTAAAGTTGCAGCGATAATGTGATCCGGGTATGATTCGAACGTATCTGTGCACGAGCTCCGAACGCTAACTCATGTGACACTACATTTTATTGCTAGATTATAAACTTACATTTCAAAATAACATCAACAGCACAAGGTGAATTATACGAAAACTGTGTAGTATTAAAGTAGGCTCTGATCTGACGGTAACTCGTTCATGTGTGAAATTGAAATAAAAATTGTTATGCGCGTTTGAAATAATGGAAATAAAAATTGCTTTGAAGTTCATAGTTTTATGCTAGTAAAGCTTCTCTGAACATAATGCATTATAAATCAATTGTCCAAAATGTAACGTTAAGGAGCTAACGAACTGTTAAACAGTTATCCTTGAATTAAGCTGACAGTCGATATCAGGATATAATATATAAGGAAGAGTAGATTACTGTCATTACCGTCAATTTACAATTCATTAATGTTAACATTTACTTTTCTCAAATGGATGATTGTTTCATCTTACGAATTGGAACTGCAGATTGCGTCGCGTTGGTTGATGCAGTTGGGTATTTGAATGGAGAATTGTGTATTTTAGGTAGGGAGTAATTTTATAATATTCTGGCTGTGCCGGACAGCCTGAGGAAAAGTGATAAATTCTTATGACACGATTTCTACGCTTGGATTCAAAAACGTTTCCTCGTTCATAACATCGGATGTGCAACCCTGAACTTGAAAGTTTTGTGATTCTAGATTCTCAGAAGAGCATATTTGAAATTTTAACCCAGTGGTAACTCTTATGCCCCACCTGCTTTAAAAAGCAATAAATTCATATTTGTATTTATCGGCTTTGTTATAATTTGCCGTAAACAGTTATTATTTCCTTAAAACGCATAACGAATTGTTCTTTGTGATGCTGAAGAGTTGCGTTATACTATGGTACGGACTGAATTATTAAATATTCTGCAGACGAACTTTGGCTTTAAACGGTTATTTTCCATTACCATACTCTTAGTCAGAGATCTTGTGTATTCTGTTCTGTATAATAGAAGATTGTTTATCCTTGGTGATGGCGGCAGGAAGCAACTCTTAAACGTCGACTTCTACCAAATATGGCGCACCAGTTCAGAAGACAGTAATATTCATACTCGCCGCCTTGAGAACCTGATATCGCACCTCACAGTAGGTTGGTAGTTATTCTAGGGGTCTGGAGTAAAGTGGGGCAAAGGTGTACAGAGGGAAATAGTGCGTATTGAAGTTTATGGCAGTTAGCAGACTTTGAAGTGATCGAAGAGACGATTTGTGTGAGTGTTGCCTTGTGTGTGAAAGCCTTGATAAATAAGGTCCGAATTTCAAGCATCTTTTTGCCATTTTTAATGTGTTATGCGGAGTGTGTAAAACATTTAATGTGTAAATCTATTGCGGAATTGCAAAACTGTGTTCTCGAAAGCGTAAGCAAAGTTGCATGTAAAGTACAGCAAACCTTAGCGAACGTAAGAAATGCACAGCGTGGGAAGAGTTCACACGGCAGAACTGGGTAGAAATACGCGGGCTCTTTAGCTAATTTAATAACAAGTTACGCCCCAGCCTTGGTCAAAAGCGAACCTAACCTAAACAACCTCATGCACATTGATACAAGTTGCGAAACGTGATGTTTGCAGTTTGTCAGTTGCACTGACCCAATACACGTTGATACCAAGTGATTATACAAGTAGTTGTCTTGCCGCTAAATGTGAATCAACATCAAGGATTGCTCCTGCATTATTTGTGTTTTATACGTCTTTTGGTTCTTAAAATACAAAGCAGTGCATAAAATTCTACCGGTTATATGTACTTTTGACAGACTTTGTCAAGTTGCCTTCCGAGTTTCCATCCTAGATGTCACTCGATCTGTCCGGCCGCTTCAAGGTTGCACGAGCAGGTGTGCTGTATTAATGATGTTTCTCCTTACTCAGAGCGAATTATTTTGTTAACTTACTCGTACTGGTGTTGGCCATTGCTGACGTGTGCCACAGCACGCCAAACGATGAGCATCGCGGCTGAGGAAATGTTTCCTACCGGACTCGTACAAAAACCTCGTTCTGTTCCGACCCTCCTCACTGCTCGTTCGTCGTTTAGCTGGCAACATAACCAATACAACAGATGACAAGTGTAAGTTTCGTAAGCTGTATCTAATTCAGCAAGTGATACCTGGATATTTTGTTTGCGTTGCAGCCCCCCGAGAATGAACTTCAGAAGGGCGGTGCGGGAGAGCGGGTCATGTCGGAGCACCAGTTGCGGGTGCAGCGCTCTCTCCAGAAGCTCAATGTTCCGGATTGGTACAAGAACTCTAACGTTGCCCGCGGTCCGGAGGGCTTCCTACTCAAGCGGAACAGCGACGCGGGGCACGGATGGCCCGGTCTCGGCTCGAAGACCACGTCTCTCTCCAGCCTCGGCTCCACGCAGTCCGCAGCTGCCAGAAGCCCAACAAGTGAGTACACTTTTCAGAAGAGTGATGCGAGGGTTGTCTTTTATGGAACGTGGATCATGCTGGCAGACGAATTATTTTAAGGGGCAATCAATGTCATATCAGACCGTTTTAATAGAGTATGTGTGTCTTCCCAGTGTTCCAGAGGATAATCCACTGTTTAAAATAGCGACGTTTTGAACATTACATATCGCTGTTAATTACGGTAATTCAAAAGTTTTTAAATGTGCAGTCCATGGATGGCAGGACGTTTCGGGTAGGTTCTGTTTGGAAATCCTAAGGATGCAAGCAAGACACAGTTCTCTCACATTTCCCAAATTCTACAGTTGCAAAGCCGAGTCCTAACAGTATCAGAATTTGAATTAGCACCTCACAGTAGGTTGGTAGTTATTCTAGGGGTCTGGAGTAAAGTGGGGCAAAGGTGTACAGAGGGAAATAGTGCGTATTGAAGTTTATGGCAGTTAGCAGACTTTGAAGTGATCGAAGAGACGATTTGTGTGAGTGTTGCCTTGTGTGTGAAAGCCTTGATAAATAAGGTCCGAATTTCAAGCATCTTTTTGCCATTTTTAATGTGTTATGCGGAGTGTGTAAAACATTTAATGTGTAAATCTATTGCGGAATTGCAAAACTGTGTTCTCGAAAGCGTAAGCAAAGTTGCATGTAAAGTACAGCAAACCTTAGCGAACGTAAGAAATGCACAGCGTGGGAAGAGTTCACACGGCAGAACTGGGTAGAAATACGCGGGCTCTTTAGCTAATTTAATAACAAGTTACGCCCCAGCCTTGGTCAAAAGCGAACCTAACCTAAACAACCTCATGCACATTGATACAAGTTGCGAAACGTGATGTTTGCAGTTTGTCAGTTGCACTGACCCAATACACGTTGATACCAAGTGATTATACAAGTAGTTGTCTTGCCGCTAAATGTGAATCAACATCAAGGATTGCTCCTGCATTATTTGTGTTTTATACGTCTTTTGGTTCTTAAAATACAAAGCAGTGCATAAAATTCTACCGGTTATATGTACTTTTGACAGACTTTGTCAAGTTGCCTTCCGAGTTTCCATCCTAGATGTCACTCGATCTGTCCGGCCGCTTCAAGGTTGCACGAGCAGGTGTGCTGTATTAATGATGTTTCTCCTTACTCAGAGCGAATTATTTTGTTAACTTACTCGTACTGGTGTTGGCCATTGCTGACGTGTGCCACAGCACGCCAAACGATGAGCATCGCGGCTGAGGAAATGTTTCCTACCGGACTCGTACAAAAACCTCGTTCTGTTCCGACCCTCCTCACTGCTCGTTCGTCGTTTAGCTGGCAACATAACCAATACAACAGATGACAAGTGTAAGTTTCGTAAGCTGTATCTAATTCAGCAAGTGATACCTGGATATTTTGTTTGCGTTGCAGCCCCCCGAGAATGAACTTCAGAAGGGCGGTGCGGGAGAGCGGGTCATGTCGGAGCACCAGTTGCGGGTGCAGCGCTCTCTCCAGAAGCTCAATGTTCCGGATTGGTACAAGAACTCTAACGTTGCCCGCGGTCCGGAGGGCTTCCTACTCAAGCGGAACAGCGACGCGGGGCACGGATGGCCCGGTCTCGGCTCGAAGACCACGTCTCTCTCCAGCCTCGGCTCCACGCAGTCCGCAGCTGCCAGAAGCCCAACAAGTGAGTACACTTTTCAGAAGAGTGATGCGAGGGTTGTCTTTTATGGAACGTGGATCATGCTGGCAGACGAATTATTTTAAGGGGCAATCAATGTCATATCAGACCGTTTTAATAGAGTATGTGTGTCTTCCCAGTGTTCCAGAGGATAATCCACTGTTTAAAATAGCGACGTTTTGAACATTACATATCGCTGTTAATTACGGTAATTCAAAAGTTTTTAAATGTGCAGTCCATGGATGGCAGGACGTTTCGGGTAGGTTCTGTTTGGAAATCCTAAGGATGCAAGCAAGACACAGTTCTCTCACATTTCCCAAATTCTACAGTTGCAAAGCCGAGTCCTAACAGTATCAGAATTTGAATTAAAAACTACCCAAAATGTGCATAAAAGAGCCTGTTGAAATTTCATGGTATCGTTCAAAACACAAGAACAAGAAGGTACTCAGTTTTTCAAATATATTACCATGTTTCAGAGGAGAAATTAAGCATAAAAATCACAAAATAGTTTTGAAGTGCAAGGTCTTCAGAAATAAATCTTGTCAAAATCATGATACGTAAATGAACGACTATTTACTGCGTTTATTTTAAAATGCCTTTATTTGTTCTAATTATACCGGTAGGCTATTTGTCGGCTGTGCCAGTGCACTAACTTAAGGCCTGACCGCCACGGTGGTCTAGCGGTTAGAACGCTGGGCTTGTAATACTGGGGTCCCGGGTTCGATTCCCGGCGGTGCCCGAATTTATAACTTGTGTTGGGCAAGGCCGTGGTCCAGGCATCACGGAGTTTTCCTCCGGGGTTTCCCCGGTTTCTCCGTGGCATCCCAACAATTACTCCACTTTCATCATCATCTCGCGAGAAAGGGGTCGTGAATCCTGCTATAAATGCCGTCGTCCCGGTCGAACCCATGTACTGATGGGTCGTGAATCCTGCTAACCACCAATGCACACCATTCAGCATGGATACGAGAAAAAAAAATCAAAAAAACTTAAGGCCTGCTGTTGCATATGGGTTCAAATGTTACTCAGTAATTTTCTTTAACAAAATTCTTCATTAGTCAGATATATGATATTCTTTTGCTTGAGTAATCTTTGAGTATCAGGTTTAATTGCTGTGACTCACGTGAATACTTCGATAATTTGTTGTGGATCTCATAATATTTCTTCTGTGTTTAACAAGTTGTCTTGAGCAACTGTCCAGAATGGGAGATGATGATTAACATGGATGTTAACACTGGAATATCATGTAACTTTTTATGAATCTTATATGCAATGTAAGTCTTATATTATTTGTCGGAGAAAATACAGTAAAAAGATTCCCAGATTTCGACTTATCAGCAGTATTTGATCAGAGCTTAAACATTTCTATCTTATGCTCCTCGAACAAGAAATTGGAATATCAGAAGTGACCGATAGAACTGCAACAAAACAACTTACCGATCCAATAATTTTTCTACCTGGTTATCGATCAATTGTTGATGGAGGCATGGTTTTATCTGAATGGGCACATAAGCATAAGAAAATGAATAAATTGACAGTGGAACCACGGTTCCGTAGTTAACGTTGATTAACGTTTAACTGTAGAAGTATATTTGTACTGAAATAAAATTTTATTTACACATTAATGTATACCGTTACATATTATCTATACGTGACGTCATCCGCCGACAGCTTATCTATGTGATACGTCATGTACTCAACACACTCGGGAATGGTTAGGTTGGTCATGCCGAAACCCCACCTGAAATCTACAGAGCCCATCTAGTAATGATTGTACAAAAAATTTTAGCTGCTAATGCGCTGTGCAAGGGTGCGAAAAAATTGTTCAAAGTTGGTATGTATATTTAAAATTCGCTCCGCCGCGCATGCGCGTGACAGCAGCGCGCCATTCACCGGTACATTACAGCGGAGGGCGTGGGCCAGGCGCTGGTGAGAAGGCAGGGAAAGATCAGTCTCCGGGGAGCTAGAAGCTTAACTATTGTTGTTTGCGCGTAGTAGAGGAGGTGTTTTAGTGACATTGTGATTACCAGATCTTTCAATACAATGTGGAACGCTGTCAACGTTTTGCGACTTGCAATGCAGGTCTATGAAGGACGCAATATTATAGCCAGGTCACACAACACGATTGAAGACCAGCAGATGTGTGACCTTCTTGTGCAGATTTTGGACAATCAAGATTTCTGTCCAGATTATTTCATCGAAACCACTGACACGCTGGACATTTTAGACAATGAATACGAAGGTACTGAACAACCTGATCAACCACCTGATAGCGATGTACCTGTCAGTCGGTGATCAAGCGATGATGAACAGTCATCACATTCAAGCTACAACCATGCTTGATTCCTAATATAAAATATACTGGAGAAATACCCGTCAAAAGTAGCAACAACAATAATCTTTTGAAACTATTCCCATTCATTGCACATTACACCCCAGACTCAATGAAATTTTATAAAGTTAATTCCATCAATTTTCCCTTCCCTGTCGCAAAAAGAAAATCCCGTTTCTGTTACCAAAGATTGAACTCAAATGTAAGCGCAGTGCTGGTGGAGTTAAAACTGTATCTGTAATTTCGTAGTTCTGTGGAGGGTTCAAAGAAAGAATAACGAAACACTTTCATTGCATTTCAACGATAGGTTCGATGTCTCTTAGCCCCTGAACCATAGGCTAATCCTCCAGACAGAAGACATTCATCAGTCAATAATTCAAAACAACAAAATATGTAACTGTAAACGTTTCCCTGAAAATTATTGAAGCCTAAGTACATGAACCTGTCCAACTTTCAACAAAAGGGGTGTCCAAGATGTAGGGTATTGTGGACATGTAAAATTATAGGATATTCGCCGGTTTCAATTAAAAGTGTCCAATATATAGGGGTTACTGTATATTAGTTCATGTACATAGTAGCTATGGATGAGTGAACAGTCTTTTGTTTCGGTGCATTGTTTCCACAAAGCATATAAAACACCTGCGTATTATATACATATAGATGGTTCCTATGTACTTACTTATTCAATAAACTACGCGCGCGCGTGTATGTGTGTGTGAGAGAGAGAGATTTCTTAAGTCTTTCCCTGCCTTCTCACCAGCGCCTGGCCCACGCCCTCCGCTGCAATGTACCGGTGAATGGCGCGCTGCTGTCACGCGCATGCGCGGCGGAGCGAATTTTAAATATATATACCAAATTTGAGCATTTTTTTCGCACCCTTGCACAGCGCATTAGCAGCTAAAATTTTGTGTACAATCATTACTAGATGGGCTCTGTAGATGAGCAAAATTTCAGGTGAGGTTTCGGCATGACCAACCTAACCATTCCCTTGTCAGTCTAGAACCGTTCTTTGTTACCAAATAAATTGCCAAAATTCCTAAACCGTAAGAGTTAGCTGAAATCTGTTTGAAAATTTGAAAATCTCGTGTTTATTTACGTATTTCAATCGCAATATGTCCAGATCTAACTCTTACGCTTTAGGCGTGGCAAGCTGTTGAAGTTAAGGAACGAGCGTATATTTATTACATGTTTTGGGTAATTATTTCAACAATGCGTAAAATATGCATTATAGAATAAAGCAAACATCATGTAGAAAAAGCCCTTTATTTACTCTTTAATTTACATATAGGTTTATATTCTCTATCTTACATAGGTCTCGAGTTATTGGCGTTTGAAGAAGTTACACACCAGCGTTACCTTAATCTTACAGTTTCCGTCGTGATTTTATAAACGTTATTCAACGTTAATATACTGGAGTAGAGAAAGTCTACATCTTATACATGAAGTTGCAGTTCATGTTTAAAAATTGGGGTTTTATGCATAAATTATTAATTCTTAAGGTTATGTAAGGCTACCACTGATCAAGAAGGAAAGGTGCCAACTGACACCATTATTAGCTCAGATGAGAAAGGCCATGCTCTGGCACAGCCACCAAATAGTCTGCTTGTACAAAGGTTATCCAAGTTAATGCTCAGAATTCAGAATTGTTTTCATTACACTAGACAACAAATTTTAATGAGTTGTATATGTCGGAAATGAAACTAATCAATCTTATGTATTTTCGTCCGCTAATTTCGAAAATGACAATAAAAAAGCTTAGTTAGTTCGCGTTTTGAAGATATTTTGTACTTTGTAAAATATCACCAATAAATTCGTCCATATGATATGCAAATGTTTAAAAATTTTACCTACCTTATAGACGTTGTCTTTTGGCCTTTCTTCAGTATTTTACCTCGGGGGAATCTCTTACCACCGACCAGCAGTAATCAGCTATCATTGATGCGCTCCATTCCCCCTGATAACGCCACCAATTTATTAAACATCCCTTAGGGATGTTGACTAGACCTACAGGAAGCAATAAAACCTTCTCCACCCTTGTACAGGCTGTTTCTGAAGTAAGTAGTCCATTACAGTTCTGAAAATTACGAAAATTGAGCGAAACGGCTTGGTGTGATTATCTCCGAAATGCGAACCAATCATGCAAAATGAATGTCATTTTCGTGTTTAGAAGCTCAAAATTAGTAAAAATTGGCAAGTTTCTTCTCTGATATATTTTGGCTGTTGAACAGTGTTATTGTTTTATATTTCCCCAAATGATTACAGTATTTTAGTGCTCGTATCCAGTGAGTATTTGTTCATATCACAGGTCAACCAATAATATACCAGTCCAGAACCCCCGTAACTGTTGTAATTAAAACTTTGAACTGACCAGCAAATCACGTGTGAAAGATCCCACCCTTGCAAGTGATCTGGAAGTTAGGTCATGAACACGTGCAGTACGATAGTGGACACAGTTGACGGCGGGCTTTCAGCCAGTAAACAAAACTTTTGTACTTTTTATGGGAAGTTGTGTATAAGACTATCCAAATTTCAAAAGTAAAAGTGTTCTGTGTTTTTCTTTTATTAGTTGTTCCTAATTTGTTTATTTATAAAAATAATACCACGTCAACCCTGAGGTGATCCTTGTTCCCCACTGACTCTAGTTTGGGATATAACTACCGAGTCTACAATTTATGAGGCTGCGGTCGTGCTTGCATTTCGTGGTCGGCCGGCGCCCCGTTGATGTGGGCGGGAGTCGTGCGCGTTCTTCCAGTGGGTGACCGGCGAATCAGTTTCAGTGATGGTAGTAACAGCGAACTACGAATATTTCTCGTCACTAATACATGCTATTACATTAACTGTTCTTACCTTAAATCACAAAAAATGTTCAAAGTGACTTACTTGTGCTTGCAGGCGACTTCACATCTCGTTAACATGTTTCGAAATACTCGACGAAGCTCTTCTTGGGAAATTGCCGAAATCAGTTGTCGAATATTTTCTGTACACACACTGTCAGACAACATCTTCTGTATCCCAAAATTCGGAAAGGGCATAAAATCCGTATTGTTTCCCAGTATTCAACCAACATGTAATTACTTACAATTAGAAGATATAAGTTGGGAGTGTAAAATGATGTATTGGTAAGCATCTGAAAACAGAAGAATTTTTATTTTATATAATTTACTAGATGAAGCTTACCTCAACATCTAACTTTTATTATTTATTTTGTTTGTATTAAAATCCCTCTGCATAAAGATCCAAAATACATAAAATCGCAAAATCCAAAAAGCCATAGTTCCCAGGGGTTTCAGATAGGGGGTCTGGTGTGTGAATGCGTGAGTGTGTGCGTGCGCGTGCGTGCTCAATTACTTGTGATTCTTATGGCACTTATTTCTAGAGACTTTGCACTTCAAAATAAATATTAGCATAAGTGAAATGCATAATTTCTTTGAAAAATGCATTACATTATGCTGAATTTGTCTTGTATGAAGCATGTTTTTAAATATTCTGTCTACAGTCAGACTTAATGTGCCATTTGTGACGAATGTTTCCAGTTAGTTACACTTCAGGCAGCACGGTTTGGAAGAAAATCATCCAAAAAGAATATTCATGTGGAATATATTTGTAAAATTATTGTTTTCCATTTTATTTGTTAGAGTTAATATTCACAATACTTCATGTTGGATGCAGGCCACCTGTTGAGCCCCAGCCCCACGCCTCACGTGTTTACTCGGTGGAGCACAAGTCGTCTCAATAGTGGTGGCACCTCTGCCAGCACCTCGCCTTGTGGGTCCACGCGCTCTTCATTCAATTATCGGCAGCCGTACCTGGGATGGAGGTCTCAAGAACGGCTCGCGAGACCTCGCACTCCAGCGGAGCGGCTTGCTGTAGGACTACTGCCCGCACAACAGCAACAGCATCAGATCGCTAGCCCACAAAACATCATCACCCCCCAGCAGGAGCTTCAGCAGATACTGCAGCAAGAAGTGGAACTCGAGCAGCTTCAGCGAGAGGATGAGGAACAGGTATTAAAAAAATTTGTTTGGTGGAATGTCACTATCAGCTGTGATATGGACGTGTTTGTAGTTTCTTTAATTTTGAAACCAGAGAGAAAATGACTGATGTGTAGCAGCTACTCTGTGACAATGGAGGAAAGTACCATCTGTGACTTGCCTTCACAGGTAAGATGTATTCTCATAGCCATGGGAAAATTGTACTCTGTACTGTTTTCAATCGCTTTCTTTTTTAAGTTCCATTATCTTCATGTGATATTTTATATCACTGAATCAGCTGCAGGAGTTAATGTGTACTTGTATGTGTATGCGTATAATTGGAAATATCGTTGGGTATGTATTAATAGTTTGTGCCTGACAAAGTTAGATACTCATAAAATCTGCGTGCACAAATGGAGTAGGATTATCTTTTTTGCACTCTCACTCTGTCTAGTTATTTGCATTATTTGCACAAATTTGATGCTCTGAGACTAATACATTGGCTGTATTGAGGATTAGGAGTGACGTTACTGATTGCTGTATTTTATTCTAACCCCATGCAGCAGCAAATGAACGGAGTGAGATGTTATACATTTGGCTGTATCTCAAAGTATTAATTCTTCTGTCAGCATTGAAATCTTATCATCGTAATCTTTAAATGAACAAGGATGAAGTATATATATTACAGGCCTAATCAATCTCGTGTGACAAGGTTTGTGTACATAATCTTCGCAGCAGATAACTGACAGCAATTCAGTTCTCCATTTCACATTTTACTTCTGTTTATTAAGTAGGAAATTATTAAACTGTACGGGGGGGGGGGGGGGGGGGGG